GAAATGTTAAAAGCAAAAAAAAGGGGGGGGGGGGCAGAGAAATGCTGGCAGAATAACACTTTATAAATCAAGACAAATACTTTTAAAGTGGGAAAGCAATAAAGACCAATATGCTTCTTTCTCCCTAGTAGACTTACCAGCTGTCTTACTAGAAGTCTTACACAAGGTCTTCAAGGTCAGCAAGCTTACATGGCTTTTTGACTAAACCACAGAAAACAGCCTGGAGTACATGAAGGACAGAGATGAGAAGCTGAACCTAAAAAAAAAATAAAATAAAGGCAATCAAAATCCCATTCCTATGATATCTTGTGCCCCCTAAAATAGAATTTTGCCTATTTCTCTCACTATCCTGTCCTCCACCCCCCAACAATCCAATCAGCCTGGATACTTACTTAAACGAAATTACACCAAATACTGTCAATGACACCATCCCTGTCTAATTCCACTTTAATAATCCACCATGGAACTAATGCCCATGTATGTGACCAAACCCTTCTCAAACCTACCACCTAACTTCAGCTTATATGACAAGCACTCAGGAGACTGCAGCTGTGACCACAGGTGCAGCTGGCATTTTGTCAATTATCCATTCTATATAGCAGGACAGTAAATTAATAGGCAGCAAAGGAAGGGACAACATAATCAATAGGACCAAGGGGCAAAGAAGAAACAGGCCTCTGGGGAACGGAAGGATGGTGGTGCTTCAGTAACTGCTGAGGCTTTTTCATGAATGAATTTCAGAGAAGGCGTAAGGGTCTGGGTAAGTTGTTCACTTGAACAAAATGGGATAAACTGGCTGTGAACAAGCTAGAGAACAGCTCACAATACTCTTCTGATTAAGTTCTAGCACATTTATCTACCCTTCCTCTATTCCCTACACCTTGTCTATGCTTTAACTCTGATACCTTACTTCCCTGCCACTAGTCTCACTTCCTTCCAATCCACTCATCACAATGCTACCAGTCGCCTTCCAAACACAAAAACCTAATGTGACTTGCTTGCTCAAAATTTCTCCAGGTAATTCCAACACCTACAGTAGAAAATTTTAACATGGTGTATAAAACTCTTCACAATCTGGCCCCTGACTAGACTGCATTCTCAAAGTACTGGACCACCTATAATTCCCTGACAACTCAAGCTTCTGTGCCTTTACACAGGTATTTTCTCTCTTTTACACTCCAAATCTTGCCACCCAGTCATCAGGCAAGTTCCTGCATCTTTTAAGTGGGATTGCTTTTTTATTTTTTTTTAAAATATGTCTTTATTGATTTGAGAGGAAGGGAGAGGGAGAGACAGAAACATCAATAATGAGAGTCATTGATCGGCTGCCTCCTGCATGCTTCCCACTGGGGATCAAGCCTACAACCCAGGCATGTGCCCTGTCCAGGAATCGAACCACGACCTCCTGGTTCATAGGTTGATGCTCAACCAATGAGCCATGCTGGCTGGACGAGATAGTTTCTTAAATATTGGCCAATCCCCACCCTCTCCAATCTTCCTTGGATCCCCTGCTGTATACACATCTCTACCATAGTGGTCATCTCTGGCACTAAAGCCTGATTCCATTCCAGGCAGTGGGCTCCTGGAGAGCAGGGACCCTTGCACTTCCCTAGCACATGGTATATGCTCAGAAAGTATCTGTTTAATCTCATGCATTCCCTCATAAAGACTGGAGCCCTGACCTTAGATTCACAGGATTTTAAAACTAAAAGACCTGAGCTACCATCTAGTCTTGGAGCCACTGGATTTTAGGACAAGAGACCTCAGGGACCACCTACTTTAAAACTTCAATTTCTAGTTGAGGAAATTCAGAGAGACATTAACTTGCTCAAGATCAGGCAAATAATCAGTATGTGATGGAAGACCAAAATAAAGTTCTGCTATCTATCCAGGTTCTTTCTAGTATGTCTTGACCAACCTAATACCGTGGAATTTAGTAAGATCTTGAAAAGCCAATACAATGGGCCCAAATAAACAAGACAAAATTTATCAAGCACTTAGAATACAAGTATCAGTTGCAGAACATAGCACTATAGAGAACTGCATTCCATATTCTGCATTTCGCAGAGTATCCCAGTGGATCACTCTCTTCATTTCTGGGCAGGACGGAAACTTTAAGAGAGTCACTAACACTAGGGAACCTGCAAATGAAAGCAACCAAGATGGCAGGCATGAAAACATATCATTTGTGAGTACAGGCACTTAACTTCAAAACGGGAAGAGTTATGGATAATATGTAAGCTATCCTAGAAGCAACAAGGGGAAGCCGGCAGGAAAACAGATGTCAGCTCAACATATCAAGTTTTATGAACTACTCAATCACAGACTAGAATAAGTTGCTTTGTCAGGCAGGAGCCCTCCATAACTGGAAACCAATGATCAGGACAGGACTGGAAAGATCCTTGGAGGACAAGAGTCCAACATCTTCATTTTACAATTGAGAAAACTGATGCTGAGTGACAGAAGTGACTTGTGGAAGATCACACAAGTTCCAATCATTACTGTTTTGCCACTACATCATCCTGTACTTTTCACTGAAGTTCTAGCCATATAGCATCACACCTATTTCCCATTCCTACCCAAATTCTCCCTGGTCATTTTAAAAAACATGTTTATGGAGATCTTTTAAAATTAAAACTCAACATGTAGAGCATGTTTAAAGCTAATTGAGTTTTATGCATATACACACTAGCATTGCTCTTTACCCCAGCTGAATTTTTAAAAATTAGTAAACTTCACTTTCTTAGAGTGGATTTAGGTTTCAAGAAAAAAAATTAAACAGGAAGTTTTCTGTTTTCACATACCTCCCTGCACACAATTTCTCCATTATTAACATCCTGTATTAGTGTGGTACATTTATTCCAAATGACAAAATACTGGTATTAACTAAAGTCCACAGTTTACATTAGGGGTCACTATACATGTTTTACAGTTCTGTGGGTTTCAAAACTGTAATGATGTCATGTATCTACCATTACAGAATCGCCCATTACAGAATCATATAGAATACTTTGGCTGCCATAACAATTCCCTATGCTCCTAACAACCACTGATCCTTTTACTGTTTCTGTAGTTTTGCCTTTTCCTATACATTTTTAAAAACTGTAGCAAAAGATAACAAAACTTACCGTTCTAACCATTTTTAAAAGCACAATTCAGTGGCATTAAGTGCATTCACAATATTGTAAAACCATCACCATTATCCATTTCCAAAATTTTTCATCACCACGTACAGAAACTCTGTACTCATTAAACAATAACATCCCTTCCTCACCCCACCCCTACCGGCCCCTGGTAACCTCTATCCCATTTTCTGTCTCTATGAGTGGCATCCTACAGTATTTGTCTTTTTGTGTCTGGCTTATTTCACTTTGCGTATCTACACTATAGCATGTAACATGATTTTAGTCCGTTTTAGGAATGAATAACATTTTGTTTTCCATTCACGTGTTGAGACATTCGGATTATTTCCTCCTTTTGGCTACTTTAAACAAGACTGCTATGAACAAGGGTGTGCAGTATCTATGAGTCCCTGCTTCCAACTCTTTGGAGTTTACACCTTGGGGTGAAATTGCTGGATGATATAATAACTCTATGCTTCAATTTTTGAGGAACCGCTACTAAACCGTTGGTCAGGGCTCTGGCTGCAGCAGTTTCCATGCCAGCCAGCAATGCACAAGTGTTCCAATTTCTCCACATCTTCGCCATCACTTGTGATTTCTCTTCGAAGAGCCACCCTAATGGGTGTGCTATGGTATTTCATTCTGGTTTTCATTTTCATAACTTTGATGGCTGATGCGCATCCTTTGATGTGCTCACTGGCCATTTGTGTATCTTTTTGGAGAAACACCTACTTAAATCCTTTGCCCAGTTCTGAATTGGATTGCTTTTTGTTGTTGAGTTATTGTTGTTCTTTACATCTTCCGGACACTAATCCCTTATCTGATATATGATTACATTTCTCCTATTCTGGGGACTGCCTAGCTGATTTCAAAACAATGACAAAAGCCCACGCAGTCTAGGGGCGGAGAAAATTGCACCTAGGACCGAAAGGAAAAGAATGCATTCCTTGAGAGCCAGAACCGACTTCCCAGCAGGGTTTTAAATAAAACGTTACCTGCTTCCCTACCCTCAAGTCCCCGTAGAGTCCGCCCCGCCCGCGGCCTCTGGGTAGCCGGTCGTTCAGCCAGCCCGGCGCGAGCGGACGAGGTGCAGGCCCCTCCTCGGTGGACGCCCTAGGCTTCCTCGGGACGCGGGCCTCCGGGAGTGCAGGCCCGGACGACGCCCCTCCCTGTCCGCCCCGCTTCTCAGCGCTGGACCGCAGCGGCGTCCAAAAGGGCGAATGTTGGCGGGAGGCCGGGCTCGCGGTCCCCGGCGGCTCCGCGAGGCCCTGCGGAGCTGCGGCCTCCCGAATGGCGGCGAAGCGCAGGCGCGAGCTCCG